CCCCAAAACCCCAAAACCCCAAAACCCCATAACTAAGAAATATAATTGAATATTAAAATGAGAAGGAAAAGATTTCATGAACCAAGTGAAGGTGATCTTCTCGAGGAAGAGAATTGGGAACTGAAAATTTTCCATCATATTATCTCAGAAAACAATCCTATGACTTGGTATACCACTAAAGATTATTATTGGCATCTGGTAAGTATCTAAAGAGTTTAAACTAGCATATATATTTGGACTACATGAACCCCAAAATTTCTTCCATCCACATGCTAACCCTCCAAATTAAAGCCCACACCATCCACACAACACCACTCCTAACCTCCGATCCCCTAAAAAGATCCTTAAACTAGACCCCAATCCCCATTCCTCTTCTTCCAGCCCACAAGAGATCTGGCCCATTCCCTTCTAAAGAGCCTGGGCCTCCCAGCTGCAGCCACAGCTGCAGTGCTAGCTGGGCTTAAGGAGAGGGAGAAGGAGTTGAGAGGGTTTAGAAGAGGGTTAGGTGATAGTTCAGGCATAGGTTTCTGTGGGATCATTTTGCTATGTAGTTTGAGAAATTAGTGTTGGAGAGATCATTTAGAAGCCTTTGAGTTTGGAGAGTTTATATTTAGTTGATGAGAGAAGTTATTTCACAATCTGATTAAAATTAATGCTCATATTTGAGAACTTAGTGATGATATAGGGTGATTACTCTGCACTGAATCAGAAGTTCTATAAAATTGCTCCTCCGACTCGCAGTTGTTATGAACTCAGCTTTGGAAATACTAGATATAACACTCAGAAAGATCTAGCCAGGATTTTGTGAAAGTTAAAGAGATCTGAAGTTGATATCTTAGAAATATGTCATTCAAATAAAAAGAGGAAGTTTCCACTGAAGCAGTTGTTTATTCCAAGACAAAACATTTTTGAAAATGTTACTCTCAAGTGTAGTTTCAGGTTTGTAATTTATTTCTCTCAACTTTCAATTTTTATTTGGAAATCTAAATTGGTTATTAACCGTTCTGTAGTACAATGACTTTTTCTGAGAAGAATTTGATCAGAGTATTGGTTTTCCTGAGAAACACCCGAAAAGTTAAGTTCTACGAATGCAGTCTCAATGAAGTATCAAAATCGCATTGTCCACTTCCTTATCCGAAGATACAAAAGTTGATCTTCAACAACTGCCTAGATAATGACGGAAATGATCTAAATTATGAGAACCCTGTTGCTATACAGATTCTAAAGTTTGTCAAAATCCTTGACCTGGACAAATCCTTGCTCTCAGTAGGTTTCGAGCCAAACTTCTCCAATTACTCTAAAGTGCTAGTGCAACAACAAGTGGAGATCGATCATCAAAAGATTCTGTAACCATCTCAGCTCCTAAAATATCTTTGCACTAAAATCCACAGCCCAGTTCAAATCCCAAATTTCTTACTAAAGCATTATGGTTTTGTGTGAATAAGATATGATTTAATAGAAGAAATTTAGGCGTATACGAGAGAAATTAGCATTGGGGGAGGGTTTAGGCCATTTAGAAGCCTAAAGAGGCCAGTTTTCCCCTATAAACACCGATTATACTATACTTCAACCCCCTCCCCTCCACCCGGGGTTTTGGGGTTTTGGGGTTTTGGGG